GTACAAACTCACACTTTCTCATTTTTATTTACACTCCTCGCTAAAAGTGTCATCAGCAAAATTACCAACGTATTATTTACTCTCTTGAGCATTTCACATACTAACTCAACTGTGTGCATGTAAATATGATAAAAAAGATACACTTTGAGACATAAGGCATCGGAAGGAAGAAACTGGCCATAAATTTCAGAGGAAAAGACGACTCATCGTGTCATTTACATTATCAGAACAGAGGAGCAAATTGAGATGAAATTGAAATGAATTTTTAAGGATGTTTATGCGAAAGCAAAATTAAAATTTTCCAAAGGAAGAAATTGTTTATGTATTGTGACTAACCATTCGAATTTTCTCTGGTTGCTCTATTTTCTCTCAGACACTCGCGCCGCTATTAAAGCCCATTGCTATGTGGAAAATTTATACCATCCTCACATTTATGTATTTTCCTCTCAAGCAGATATTTTTATTGAAATGCCGAGTGACGATGAGAAACGGTGGAAATGAATGATAGAGCACTGAAAAAACCAACAATTTTCAACACTTTTCCGAGAAGAGCGACCACTATCTCTTAAAATATATTTTATTTGACTTCCTCTCTCTCTCTCCCTCTCTGCGTTGATGCTTTTTGCCATCGCCACAGCTCGAGAGTGACAATCTAAAAAATTGCACTTCAGTTCGTGGGAATTAATAAAATACCCAAAGTAACAGAAAGAAGTCACGGAGTCTAAAGAGCATAAAAATAGACACAATATTCATTCACTTAATTAAATGGATATTACATATATACTCAAGTGAGTGAAAAAAGTCACTCGAAATAACTCCGCATACTCTTCTGAGGGGGTGAATAAATACTGTGCGCTAACGCAACTGTCACGCGACTTGTGCAGTAAAAAATACTTTGTAAAAAATGTTTGCAATTACTAGGATCTCGACTTTATGAGTTAAATATTCTATTTGCCGCGGTTTAATGTATACACAAGAGTATTTTAAAGTGATAAATAACTTCACTTAAAATGGATTGGGGATAAAATACATATTTTGCATACTTTGAAACATCATCAGTCGCTTCGAGAGTCACTGACGAAAGAGAACAACAAGTTTTCTTCTGAAATTATTTTTGATTTTATTTATTTAAATTCGAATAAGACCCAGACAATGGCTTATTTAATGGTCCACAGAATAATGAAATTACTCGCAGTTACTCAAAAAAAAAACAACCATAACTGCAATATGTGCATATAAGAGGCGAAAATATTGCCAAATGTTCTACAAAAACTTGTGGCACATTTCATATTTCAATGCCTTTTGCATCTCACAGTGAGAAAAGTAAACACTCTTGAAGATGACTATCTGGAAATTTCCACATCTTATAACTTTGAAGCAAAAAGATGCGGATGTTTTGAGCCAAGATGAAAGGAAAAAAAGCCATCCACTCGATTGTTTAGCCAAATGATTAAAGTCTTTCTGAAAGTCTAAAAATTACTTCGCATAAATTATGACACAATCGATAATTTAGTGTCTTTTTTTCCTGTCAGCCAAAAGAGTGTCATTGTGAGAATTTTTGGTTGAAAAATTCCACGATCAAAAATGTTCACAGAGCCATGAAATTTTGCTTTGAAATTGCGAGGGGAGGTTGAATTGCAGCAATTCCCAGGTAATTAATCAAACAGGTGGGAGAGAGTGTTTTTGGATGAGACACGCACTTGAGGGGCATTTTTGCGAGATGCTCAAAAACTGACGAATTCTAAGCTCTTGACAGACACACAGAGTGATCACTTGGCCTTCTGCTGGTCATCGCGTCTTCTCATCACCTTTTCCATCCACAGCCTAAGTCCAACCACCACATCTTCGGACTCCAGCGGCTATTTGAGCACCTTGAGCGCGTGTTTTGCTTGAGAGTTTGATTCTGAAGCGCGGACATAACATCATGGTCGTGGAACCGGTTTAGTGGCCGTCACAAAAAGAAGACAATTATACCCCCCTTCACCTTTCAACACACTCCCAACCAACACTCATTCAGCTCTTCTTCTTCATCTTCTCACCGCGCGCTCTTCGTGTGTTTGAATTAGCTTTTTTCACCGTCTGGGAATTTAAATGCGCCCATTGCAATCACCACAGGTAGAGGCAGAGTGCACGATCGTCTACCACAGTTTCAGTTTCACTTTTTCGAGCGGCGCATCTCTTCTAACCGCCGCACACAAATCCGCGCCGCGCTTCATGTGTTAGGCATGAGGGAAGAATTATGCCATGGTCACACGGAAGACGCGAAACGCGATCTGCTGATCCCTCGCGATGCATTTTCACTCTGCAATCACACCATTTGCCAGGGGAAAAACCCCCTTTTGTCTTGTGCCAGCGGAATTCTGGCGCTAATAGCATTAATTTTCGATTGTGAAACGGCGATTTGACAAAATACTATGCGAATAATTGCCAGTTGCGAGCCAGTTGGAGAAACACCGTGAATAGTTGGGTAAATTATCGTCTCGATACATCCTAAATTCCAATGTAAATTGCACAAAGAATAAATTTTCATGCAGACACATGCGCTCAGACCGCTCAGACGCACAGATTAGAAGGGATTTACCATTGAAAATTTAAGATGTGACGAATCTTAACACTAAACCATCAAGATTGTGGTAATGAATTGCCAGCAACAGTGAATTTTATTCCATCGTCAGCCCTTTAGGAAGTCAGATTTTTGCATATTTATGCATTTATTGCAGAAAATCACATTCACATTTCACTTTAATGCATCATTAGTCATGAAAACCCACTTCGCAGCCCAGCCAAGAACTATAACACCCTCAATTTTGACACATGTCCAATAAATGTATTCCCATTCCGCGCCCTGAGAGGTCATAAATCATATTGCATGACGTGCACTTTTGACCACAAGAAAACTGCACCAACACGCGCTTAGGTTTTGACACACAGAATTGACTTTGCGAACCATTATTCGGATTGCATGAAGTGTATTCCTGGTAAATTGCATACAGAAGCAAGTTTACTGGGCGATGGGGTGAGAGCTTTTAGAATAAACAACTGAAGTAAGCATATATTTCAATACTAGATTATACCAGCAAATAAGAGAGATTTTCCAGAAAGTTTCTCCCCAGCCGCTCCGGCGGCGTTTACTTGGCAGGCGGGGTGGGAAAAAAGTAAGTTGTTGCAGGATTAGTTTGAGAGCTTTTATCTAAATAACATAAACAAAAGTTGAAGGCGGCAAGGAGGAGTAAACTTGAGACACAGAACGCTGGTATAGTCGGCATTATGGCAGGAATCATGGAGTTGAAAAGTTTGTGGTTTAGTTTATTGTAGCACTGGATAATGGTGATGAAGATTATTATGATGCTGCTCGCTTAGGCGCAACAATTGTTTCTGAGGGTTGCAATTTGTCCTGTGTTGCATTTCTGAAATTGTTGCTCAACGATGGAAAAATAACATGTCAAGTGTGCAAATCCATTAAATCACCTTTCATCGTCATGTACAGAATATCTTTCTGCACACACAGTCTCGCCGATAAATAATGACACACGGGGAACAGGTGAGCGTTTTCGGGGATGGTGCTAGAACAATTGAGAAAATGTGCCAGCCCAGAGTGTTCCACCATTCAATGGTGATCATGAATGTCCCATTGTTGCTGCCAAATGGAAAACTCTTACACGTGGTCGGGAGGGAAAACTGAGCAGATTGGAATGCAGCCATTTTCACACTTCCACCTGTCAACTTTTCATTTTGCCAAAGCGCCAGAGGGTGTGAGAAGGAACTTTTTGTCACTTTTGTTCCTTGACATTCCAATTGTTTCCCCTCCTCCCAATACAATTGTCACACGCGGGCACAATGTGAGCTTTCCGTGTGTGTGGAAAACGACAAAAGTGTCAAAGTAGCTTCAACACCACGTGCACATTCGCCAGATACCACACTTTCCACCTCTGCCGGCTCCCATATTGCCTATTGAGCGTCCACGGCGACACTTGAATATTCACATGGTCATTCAGTATCATAATTGGCTTGCTGAAAGATTGGGTGGTCGCTTGAAGAAGTGGCAAGAAAGTCACACATCTCAAGATAAGGTGGAGCGTTTCCTTTCGCGTCTGGTAAAGTTTTTTCGGCATGGAGAAAAAGAACAACAAGGGGGATTTGTTTTGCCGCTTTTCGGCCTTGTTTTCTAATCAATCTGCTAGCAGGAAAGTTGTGTTTTTGTTAAAAAACAAAAAAAACGCCAACCCCGAAAAAGCTTTCAGGTAAGAGTCACGGTTTGGCAGAAAGTTCGGTTGGTTTTGTATTGGATTTTACGAAGAAGTCCTTCATTTCTCAAAGATCAGTCATATATTCTGTTAATTGAAATTGTTAAATATCATAAAAATAGAAGTATGAATTCTTAACCTCTTCCTAGTTTCTCAATTTAGAAATTTTATCTTTTAATAAAACATTTTCCCTAAAACAACGAGTTCAACCACTGTAAATTGAGTAAAATTGGAAAACAGAATGTGTAAACAATACATTAAAAGTTCGAAACAAGTCGGAAATCGGCACTTTCCTGAAAGCCATCAAATCCATCTGAACTTTCACAACAACCGTCTCCAGAACAGCATATATGTAAGACGGGAAGACCGTAATATAAATGGATGTGTTAGATAAAAATACTATGGAACATTTTTCCAAGCCACTCTCGCCCACCTCCCTTTGTTATACCTTTTATTTGAAAACTCCCAAGGAATATTTTACCCGCACAAGATCGATAAGCCCACGAGACTGTCTAATTGCGAGTGAGCACGAATTTCGAAAAAAAAGACTCTGTTTTGGCCAGAACCAGACTAAAATATGGCACAGACATAATTATAATGTGGATTTTGTGGTGTATGGAAGCAAAAAAAAAGAAGAAGAAAATAGAGTTATTGTGAGTGGAATTGAAGACATATTGCTGGATGTGAAGAAGAGAAGCGTTCAACGTTGGGGTGGAGAAGGATAGAGTATTTGTCATATTATAAATCTTATCTCACCCTGTTTATAGAAATTGGCACATAAATGTGCTGATTGCCACCAGAAGGAGAAAATACCTTTTCACTCTCTCTCTCTCTCTAGTTCAACTTTCTGTGTGCGTGTTCTATCCTCGTTCTGGGCTGGATGGCGATGCGTTTTTGGCGGGTAGATTTGCGGACACTCGCACAGACACTGTCAGGATGGATTATCTCCTGCCACTTCTTAGCACTAAAAATACACTGGTAATGGTGTCCTCGCACCCTGGATATCGACGAGGTTTGTACAAAAACTGCTGATTTATCACAACAATTTCATACCATAAGCACCACCTTATGGTTATAATTAACGACGATGCCAGTTACGATGCGTACACTTCTCCTACAATAATACCCCCCATTTAAATATAGTGCACACACGCCTCGTGGAAGATTTCTCTCGTGGTGCGAACAGATTTGAATCAGTGGGTGATGAAAGTAAATAATCCACTGGCTACGGATTATTTACTCCTCTCAGCCCCAACACTTGCGTCGTTTTGCTCAAATGAGGTGGACGCGGTTCAAACTCATACACAATGCGTGGAAAATTAATTTGATCTCATGTGATCTTTGTCACAACTCTTGAGACATCTCTCTTATGTCTCAGCATCCAAACACTTGGGCGGACAAAATGTTGCCGAAAGAGCGCTTTTCTCGCGTCTTCTCAAATCACACTCAAATTGCCAATTCATTTGAGCATCCACTCGAGCGCGTATAGAGAAAATGGTCAAGCATATTTTGCATGATGAGTTATTCACCCCTTCGAGCGATTATCGAGACAAATTTAATTCTCACTTCCAACAAGCATTTTTCAGGAAAAATTTCTTCAATTAACAGACACTCAATTGAATGGACTTTCGCAAGTTTGTACAAATTTATTTATTATTGTTCTCAGTGTGAAATCTGCCGCAAATCGCGTAAAATGTTCAGTATTGAGACTTGCCATTCACCACAGGCGCAAGGTTCTAAGATCTCTCTCGGTGATTTTCATTGAGATTCCATGGCATTTTCCGTCATTCCACATCGAGTTTCACTGTGTCTTTATTTGATAAATTGTGCATCGCATTAGAAGTGGCTTTTTTTGTCTATCTCTGATTTTGTGTCTCTTCAAATTCTCCCCTTCATTTCTTGCACATTTCATTTTCTCCACATGCACAACATCAAGTGCATTGAGACGAATGGCAGAGTGGAGTAACGAGAATAAATTAATTTTAATAAAGTTATTATGATCGTCATGAAATATCCAAGTGGCTGACATTCTTTGGCCTCTCTACAATGGGCCCGTTTCTGTTGCTCTCTAACATATCAAATGAGATGTGAGGATGGAAAATGGCTCGAGAAATTATTTATGAATGATTGTGGCTGTTTAGCTTTAAACAAGATCGACAATGACACTATTATTGTGACTTTTCAACTAAACACACCGCGCATAGAGAGGAAGAGGATGAATTTAATGCTCGCACAGAAACATTTCCTAAACATTTTTCATTTTGGGAAAAGACATCACAAACTGGCCACCCAATTCACGTCACTCAGGATGGAGACAATTTCCTCTCTTTTTTTTTATCAACACAGACAAAATTCTAAATTTATAGACTTGTGCATGAATATTTTATCATGCCAGATGATTTTTCTTGCCTTGTGAAATCTTCCGCGGTGAACACTTTACAAATGAAAAGTGTCAAAAGGCTTAAATTGTTTCACATTCTGACCGGATTTTTTTTGCTCTCTCTCTTCTTTCTTTCTTTCTCAAAAGCCCAAGAGGGAGAGAGAGAGATTATTTAAATAGAATTAATTAACTCGCCATGAAGAAAACGAACGTGCTGAAAAATTTTATTTCTATTGAGCGATAATATGGAAATCACAACCATGGATGTATTTTGCTTCTTGCTAATTTTCAATGTAAATAACCATCACTTGAGCCATCGAATGTTTGGTTGAAACGTGGAAATATTCATCTGACGTGATCACGTTTAAATTTTTCTTCAGCAATATCTAACATACTGTCAAATTGACATACGGAATTGACATTAATTCAAGATCAAGTTGATCTCCACGCAATATCAATGTGATTTGAAAGAGAATCTCTGAATGCACACACAGTCAGAGATGCAGTCAATATCCAATGTGACCATCACGCGGACAACTGATCACCTCACAATCATTCCTGCATCTGAAGCTCAATGCGAAATAAAAAATGAAATGACGGCCCACCCACGGTGTCTAGAAAAGCCGGGTAAAATGGTAGAGAAAAGTGTGTTCGGTGGAAAAGATTTGTCGTGTGGATAATTGTAACAAAGCGTAGCAGAAACTGGCATCGTTGCTCAACGAAATATCTCACACCGGCCAATATGAGCAGTAAGACCTAACAAATTGCAGGAGATTTATGCACTTTTAATTGCACCTCCAGTGGAAATGATGCGGTTAATGTTGCACAAAATGAATCACACTCAGCCAGTCTGACTGAGGCCTCTATTAACGTGATGATTGGGGCAATTTTTATCCCTAATTGCCTTGTCAATTCACCTGTTTTAGCACAATTTGACTTCACTTGACGAATCTCTTCTTCTTCTTCTCTTCTCACAAACTCCACAGCTAGGTCACTGTCACAGAATCACGGAGGAATCCTGCTCCTCCAGGCACTTTATCCAATTTTGTTGCAAGGATGATGTGCGATCAATTGCACATCGATCAGCGTGTAATCCACAGACGTGTGTGCGTGCGTCAGAACAAGAGTATCCTTTGAGGACTGACTGAAGACGATCGAACGTGATCGAAGCGCGCGCGCAGCTCAGCGGATCGTGTATGATGAACAAAAAGCAAAAGCCACCAAAACAACACTGACAGGCGGGCGGGCAACAGAGTCTCGTGGAATCGACAAAAACGACCCTGGGCGACTGAAAATTTCAAGCATATCACAGTGTATGTGAATTGGTAATATACACGGCGGATATATGTATAACTCTTAACACTATACACTATATAGCAAATGTAAACCTAGGAGAATCATCCGCGAGAGAGCGAAAGAGTGTGTGGCACGAGAGAGGGAAGAGCTGAGCGCGATTCACGGGAATTGACTCACTGTGAGGCCTCACAATTTGCTTCTGGGTGCGCTCTCTTGACTATAAAATACACATCAAAGTCGCATATTACAACTCTACGCGTATAAGCTGAGAGACGCGATTCTTTTTTGAGAAAATGAGGGAGAGAAGAAAAAGAGACACATACACACGGTCATACACGAAACTATCCACACAATCAGTCGTCGCTTCCATGTCTCACGTACACTCGCGCATCTTCAACTATTTCTTGTTAATTTTTCCTGACTCGACTGATTGTCAATGAAGCAGGAATTTATTATTATTCTGGTGCAACATGAAAACTTCTGATGCGACGGAGAATTCACTATTGAGCAGCGTGGTGACAAAAACGGATATTTAAATTTTCACTTGAATTACCAATTAAGATGCTTTGCAGACACATGTCGCATCGCTGAAGAGAAAGGGATTCTAACTAGTTTGCTTGAAATCTGTACAAGTACTTCACACTATATTTTCTTTACAGCGCATGTGATAATGAGGCTCATCACCTTCAAAATGGTATATTCATAAAGGTAAAACCAAGAGGGAGATAAAACAGTCAGAAGCGGTGTACAGCTCAACAGAAGTACTTAAGAAGTGGAAGTAATCAAAAGCTTACAACATTCCTTCCCTGAGTGCTTATTTTACTGACAAATTATCCCGATTCTTTGAATTCCCTTCGATTTTCACGCAGAATCAAATTAAAAAAATCTTTTTTTAGGTTATGTAATGAATCGCGGTTTGATTTTGTGAATAATTCGCATTCTAGCACAACAATTCTTATCGTTAAGTTAAAGAGATTGCTTTTCTGAACCTTTGATGCCAAGAAACACTGCAAAATGTTTTGAACTCAAACATAACCTAAAAAATAGTCATTTCGATTTGAAAAATGTTCATTCCGAAAGCTTTTTGTACAATTTTATCACTGAATCAGCAGTTTTAAGTTCTTTAGAGGATCTTAACCAGATCATTTTGTGATCTAGAATTCTTAGAAACGGAGTTTTTGAAGATCTCTTAGTAATATTTTTAGGTTATGTGTTTTTAGGTCTATTTTTACAGAAATATCGGATGGAAACTTAAGAAATTCATATAGAATTTTCAAGTTCTAGAAGTGTCAGGCAGATTTTGAAGTGTTTGCAAGTGGTGTACAGATCTAAGGCAATTATCTCCCCCTTGGGCAAAACAGTTAAGTACATAAACCTCTAAAGAGCCTCGAGTTATATTACTCGTCCTCCTCTTTTTATTTAATAGTCTTTTATCACAAGCAAAACACCGCAAGCATTACCATATTCACCATTCTGAACTCTATGGCTATTTGATAGTAAAAAAAAAAGTTCATATAAATATCCGGAAGAGTAGCAATAACAATAATCATATATCTGCGTGCAATCGACATGAAGAGGCAAGTGACAATAATTTAGACGCCCAGCAACTGCCACGTGAACTGCGCGGCGAAACTTTGTACAGAATGAAACATTGTGGAGTCATCTTTCGCTTCACTCTCCAATTATTGTGGAATTTCTGTATTCACCGTGCCTATGAAAAGATCAAGAGCCTGAGATTTTTTTTTGACTGTGTGTGCAGAACGTCAGGAGAATTCCACGGGCTATACAGCGCGGGTTGATGACAAAAATTTGGTGTGTGTCAAAAACTGCGGAGATCAAAGAATCTCACATAGAAGATAATTAGAGGAATTTCAATTTTGTCTCTTCGCCTGCGCCTGTCATATAGGTATAAAGGTGACAATTGCTTTTAAGCCCGCGCGTTTCCTCTTTCACGTCGCCAATTGTCCAGGCGCTTATTGAATTCCTCCGCGCCAATTGCACGGGGAATTAATATGTGGGCGGATTTTGTGACGTTTCGCAGTGAGAAAAACGGCCAAAAAAGTGGCATGTGAATGGAACATCGGACGTGACATAAGATACAAATGAAATTTGATACGCCAAATATGACTGTCGGGGGGGCGCTTATCAAGAGGAATACCATCCATTCTATCTTTTAATTTTGCAGAGTGCTTAACTCAATTGACGAACACATACTTTATCACTTTTGTCCGTTGTGGCAAAGCCATTCGTGCGAAGGCCTCAATTGATTCTCTGCCTATTTAACACTTTAAGTATGAATTTAATGTGACAACAATTGCTCATGTGTATGACATTCAGAAAGTTTGACATCTGATAAATTCTGTTTATAAGTTTATAATTATAGCCATAGTTTTAGTTTTCATCATAAACATGAGCTAAATAATTGTATAAATTTTCGCGCGCGCCAAGTTGATATTTTCAGCGGCTCACAGAGAGCGATAATTTTGTGATAACAATGAAAATAGTCTCTAACACCACATATAGTGTATCTAAAACACATTAAAGTGACTGTAAAATAATCATGCACAATTTAACTCATTAATTCACATGGATTTCATTTAATGGTAACCCGCGTACATTTAGCCAAGTGTCTGTCGACGGGAAAAGAACGTGACAGACACAATAGATTTATCTGCGCTGTGAAAATATCTCCAAATCTAAAAATATCAATCAACACATTTTATTATTTGGGGAGCGAGAGAGAAAATGTTCTGAGAAGCGGAAAAACGTGAAATTGGAACGATTTTTTTTTCTTCATCATCATCATCTTTGTTTTACTGCGTTGGAAAAGGAAGAATAACATGGGATCCGCATTTCTAGAATGGTTCCATATCATCTTTCTCTATAGCACAGAAGAGAACAGTCTCTGGGTGTTTTTACTGCCATTCACGTTTATTGCAACATTTTCACACTTTTCAAAACATGTAATCATGATGTTATTAATAGATTTCACATAACAATTCATCCGTTGGCAAATGATGCAAAAAGAGGGAATATTTTCCCAATGATCAATAATTTCTGTATTTGACTGTTCACAATGGACAAAGTGGAGAATTCATCGAAAGAATGATTGGCTCAAGTGTTAAACGCACACAAGAAGTATTATATGTATGTATTTAGTACGCCAAATAGGGGGAAAATTAAATCTCTCACACATATATTCCTTAGCCACTGTTCCTTCGCGCGCCCGTCTCTTCGGCCCGAAGACGTGACTTGCCTTGAATATTTGCTTATGTGTTAAAATTCAAAGGCATAAAGCACGGTATTGTGTACAAAATTCGTGACGTCAGCGTCTCTAATAAATACAAAAAAGTATGTAGGTAAACATTATCGGAATATGATAAGTAAACATTAACAGAAAAATTACCCATTGATTTTCAACTCCCTTCACTTTCTGTCTCACTTCAGGCCTCGCATCGCCGATGCACGAGTATTGATGGGTGGCTTTTTTTTATTGTCGTCCGCGAGTGTTGAAGCGAATCAGTGTGATTGCTATCCAACGGCCGAAGCCATCAGAGTTGATAGTAGAGTTCCGCCACGAAAGTATAGATCACGCGCTTAGTTTGCTAGACAAAATGAGTGACAATTCTCAATTAATGGCAGAACTAAAAACTCTGTAAATTGGCTAATGACATGATTAATTTAGACTCTGATGATGGGCTTTTAAATTTTCACATTTGCCACATGTCAATACAGTGTCAGTTTGCTTCTCCTTCCAATGTCTCACTTTTCTGTCTTCATATCATGAAAAAACCGTGAAGTGACGCTCTTTTTCTGACTCTTTTCACGATGTGAGACAAAACATTTCACTAATTGTCCTATCGATTTCACATATAGCAGTTGGCAGATCACATGGCCTCGACGGTTGAGATTTCAAAGACATCCGTCAATCAATTTTCGTGAGGCTGAAACACCCATGAGAGATGCCTGTGAAGGCGAATCTTCTGTTGCCTTCTGTCAAGTGCGCGAGCGAGAAAGAGTGCGTGTGAGGGACAAAATGTTAATTACCTCGTGAAGAAATTAAGCAATTTAGCCGGAAAGACATGGGAAACAGCTGAGTGTGTCAGGAGCATCTCAAGATGGGATAATTCTTGGGACATCTCTCAGACTCTCACCCAAAGAATTTGCCACTTTAATGCATCGTCAACAGAGGAAAATTCACTCCTTGCCACTTAAGCCACGACCACACACAAGCTTTCCCACAAGGCGAGGAAAATTGAGGAGGAAATATCTCGGTGGCGGAAGAAAATCACTGCGTAAACATAGAAAATTCACGAGACACCGCAATGAGGTGGTGGGAAAAAAAAAGACACGGAAAAGATATGCTGGGTATTCTTTCCCTCGAAAGAATATTCTTTTTTTCTACTGGAGCGGGAGAATAAATCCTAAAATAGTTCATACAAAGATATCTGCTTACTCTCACAATTCTCCCTCGATTTGCCTCATATTTTACTCATCACGCCTGGATTTCTTGTTTATATCCCCAGAATTTGTTACATTCGGAAATTGACCTTTCCCTCTCCTCCATTCCAGAGATGAGAAACCATGAACGCACACATAATTCATTGTATGTTGGCATCCAATTGAAAATTGACTTTTGTACTCAAGTGGCAAAAATGTTGCATTTGCGATTCTCACTCTCTCTGGAACGAAAAAGCCGCAACTGTGAATGCTCAAAGAGATAAAAGCACTTCATGGCCAAGTACAGAAAAGAGTTGGGATTTGAGAAAAAGCCTCGAACTTCTCAGAGCGTATAAATAAAATGCGGCATTTGAAAAATGTTAAATGATTTACGTGTGTGTGTGTGTTAGTTGATGGGTGAAAAACCTTCCGCAAATCGCACCTTTTCACATCGCCATTGCAAATCAATAGTCCTTCAATATTAACCACAGATATTCATTGTTAAATACCTTGGCCGTCTGCCCTGGATATATTCGTGATAATTGAAGAGAGAGAAAAAATGTAATTTCAGTCACAATAT